TCTAATTGGAACCAATTCAAATTGATGGCCCTAGAGGAACAGATGATGTTAAATGAGCCTTGGAAATGACGTGTGTTCCTTCTGCAGTCACTTTATACGGCCCTCCGCTAAATCAAACTCAGAGGAAGCTTTACTGCTTTAATCTAGATGTCCACCCAGGGAAGAGCATCACTAACAGCAACAGCACACAATAAAATGTGAGCCTTCCAAAAATAACCACAGACTGGAAAAGCTCTGTCTTTGTTTTTACCATTTATTTAGATTTTTTTTTTTTTTGCTACAGAATTTATAGTGAATTCCAATGGTTATTTCCAACAGCACCCCTTTCCTCTCACTTTCTCTTTTGTGGAAACACCCTCTCCCTGTGAACCTAGTGAAACACCTTTTAACCCTCCACCCCAGGATATGTGACTGAGTCCAGAGTCCTCTATCTCTCAGGTTGTGGAGACAGCCCAGGGATGGACATATACCGGAGGCTTCCTTGAGTTTGGTATAGAAACTGAATGGAAGAGGATTTGTTTTTGAGATTCCAGGTTCTGTAGATGAAGATTTGAGGTTTCCAGTGATAATTAAACCAACACACGAAGGGAAATAATCTGGGGAGTTGGAGAATCCTGACATTACCACAGTGTCTAAGTTTCTGATCCAGCCTTGCTTGAAGCCATTCAACGAAAACTTGTCCTTACAAAAACCAATCAATACATAAGATAAATAAATAAATAAAAAACCTAAACTATTTTCAGAAGGGTTTCTATCACTTTTAACCAAAATATTCCTAAATGATACTGAATCCTATCAAAATGTTTAGGGACAGAAATGAGAAAAGGCCCTGTGGGGAGGATGATACTGTCTAGAGCCAGTTCTACATACAGATTTTGCCTGCATTGAGATCTACCATTGAATTGGCCTATGATTGAGTGTCCTGGTTATTTAACAGTTAAAGCAGGCTTCACAGTGACTATCTTCTTTTTTCAGAGAACTTATTACTTAGCTAAAAGCAATGAAACTGGCACTGACTTGAACCATAAAACATGGAAAGCTCCCAATTACTGTACTGATCATTAAGATGCTTGAAATCACTTCACATAACTTGTAAGAAAAACTTAATTACAAGTATAAAAGGACAAGTTTAGGTCTGTAACCAGACAAGTCAAGACTTGAGAAAGAACAGAACATTAGACAGTTGGCTCTTGAGAATCGCGCTATCATCTTCTTTGAAAATAATTCAACTCAACTGAGAAAAAAACATGAGGACACACACAGAGATATGATGAGCTCTTTGAGAGAAGTTCTGCTAGAGCCATACAGCTAGAGCCAGAGTTTCCACCCAGGCAGATGAGCAAGTATTCTTGGGGTACTGGTCCATCCTGCTTTTGTCTGAAAGGATGAACAAATACTGCAGAGCCCCCTGGTGCCAACCCAAGCCCCCTTCACTTTCTTGCAGACTCCAGGTCTCCATGGTTACTTTCATATCAGACAGCAGACTACAAACACTACAAAAATACAAGCCAACAGACATGATGTGCTCACATTCCCAACTCTGCCTGCAACTCTCTGAGACCCTTCATGCATTCTCTCTTCCTTCCTAAAAGTGGCCCTCTCTGTGCCCTCCCTCATGCCCCTTGTCTAAGAGCCTGCTCTGTTGGCACCATTATTCTGCTCCAGCATCTTTTTCAGTCCTTCGTTTGCCAATGCTTCTTTCCTCTGGGCTCAGGAGATGCAAGCATCCCAACGATAGTCAATCTTCACTTGCTAGGGCTGTCCGCCCCCCTCTCACCCTTCCAAGCTACTGTTTTAGTTCTTCGTTCAACTGACATACATTCTTTCTTCAGCTTCCTCTGCTAAAGTTCCTGCCCCCACACTCCAGAGAAATGCCGTTCTTGAAGGTTACTAGTGAGATCCTCAGGGCCAATTCCAACTCCCTTTTCTCAGCCCTTGACCTCTGTTGCATTTTGCACTGTTGCCTCATGCTGGAAATGTTGTCATCTCCTGGGAGTCCCCTAGAGGCAGCTTTCTTGGATGACCTCTTGTCTCCTTGGCAATATCAGCTCTGTTGCCTCTTCCTGCTCTGGCTGCCCTGAAGGTTTCGTTCTAAGTCATTGTACCTTCTATCCCTACATTTTCTACTGAAAACCGTATCTATCCTTATGGTTCTAGTCTCACCTCAGAAGATTCTCAAATCTCTATCTCCAATTCCAAGTTCTTTCTTGAACTCTGATGACACATTCCTGACTGGGAGGGTTCTTCTGTAGTTGGCCATTGGCAAAGCTACTGGCACTCCTTAAAGACACCCTCCTACCGTGTGTGCCTTTGCTTAGTCTGGATCTGAGATTACTGCCTTACTTCAAAACCTTCTGTGGCTCCTCCTGACTAGGAGGGGAGTAACACTCCTCATAATGGAATTCAGGACCTCAACAATCAAGCTCTAATTTAGCCATTTCAAAAACTCATCAATACTGCCTTTCGGGAAGCCTACAGTTCAACAAAACCTTGGTTTGACATTGCTTAGACATGCTTTCCTGTCTTCTTGCCTCAGAACCTGCTGTTCTTCCCAAAGAAAAGAATATTATTATTTTTGCAACCTAAAGGAATCTTATAGATCATCCTCTCAAACTCATTTCATAGATGAGGAAAAAGATGCCCAAGGTCATATAATTTATTAGTTATAGATATTCCGGCTGAGACCCTTGACTCACAGGTCAAGGTGTTTGTTCACAGTGGCACCCTGCTTTCTTTTATCTCAGAACCTAGTAAGGGTTTCATCTACAAGCTTTTGAAAAGTGTTAAGGGTTTCTATCATCAGATGGCCCTCGGGCACCATGCAAGCACCAAGGCTGAGATGGCAGCTCAGCCACTTCCGTCCATTGCCCAAGGGTTCAAAAACAAATACTCCATGCCCCTGAGAAAATACTGCCTCGAACTAGCCCTGAACGGATGAGCTGTGTCTACGTGAAAACTCACGCACAGAGGAAGCTTTCATAAGTTCAGACAGGG